GCACCTAATCTTAAGGATGCCTACAATAGAGTCAGATGTGATATTTTGATGCCTACACTCACTGAGAAGGGAGTTTGTGCCTGGCTGGTGAATTGGATAGCAGCGGTCCTGAATTCACATTTATTTGCCCTTTGATTGGGTACACGGACTTCAGAACCATGTAATTCTGGAATTTCACCAGTGTTTTTCACTGTGTATACAATCAAGATTGCAGAGCTTGAAGCACCAGATCTTGGAAGGACACTGATATTCGCAGATGAGGTTCTTGCATACAGGCATTGGAGCACCAGATAGCCCAAAAGCTACAGGCAACTAAAGACAAAGTAACTTACTGGTTGTAATTTCGACGCTGTCATTAGCTTAGAAAATGTATCTGTTTTATGGTGCTCTCTGGACTATATAATTGTAAGAGCTAATGTTCCAAGCCTCACAATGAAGGACATAAACATCGAAAGAGATAGCAAACTGAGATACCTAGCCATCGTTTTTGACAGAATCCTGTCTTTCAGGGATCATGCTACATGGTGAAATGCCAACAACGACTAAATGCTCTTAAGATTATGGCAGCAATGGACATGGAACAAAGAAGGCTGTTCACAATGTTCCAACATGTGATCCTGTCGGTGAGAGATTATGGATGCGGAATGCTTACCACATCAAAGAGTCAACTGATGAAACTTGAACGCATACAGAATGAAGCCATGCGTGTTATCCTGGGATATACAAGAGATACCCCGTTAGTATGTAAGAGATATATATTTGCACAGACAAATTTCACAGATAGGCTCAAATTGCTGCAAGCAAAATCATATCTCAGACTAGCTGCAGAAAGGAAGACCCTCCTGCATGAAGCCCTGGGTAGAAATAAGGATCACAGACTAAAAAGATGAAGGTATTGGACAGTCAAACTGAAAACCTAATAAGACATGTGTACGGGCCTGATAAATCTGTGTAAGGACAGGATTGGGTCAAGGTGTCCAAGCGGGTGGCGAAGACAAAGCACATGTTTATAAAGACCATTCCACTTGCACTGACCGACGTGCTCACTTGCATTTCTCATATTCGTCTCCGACTCCCTGAACTTGATAAGTGCCAAGAGTTATAAGTGCTGTCATATAGTTCATCGCTGATACACTTAAAGCACGTTAACACTGCAATCACGGCCATGAGACAACACAAACTGTATCAAAATGTGGTCAAAATCCACACGAGGACGTCTGATGCAGACACAACATGTTGAGTTGTTTACTTTTACTTTTATTATTATATCATTTCTAGGTCGTTCTAAATAATTCAACATATTATCTTATTCTGATCTAACTCAATAACTGAAACCATTATTTGAGCGGCATGGCCACACTACAGCTGTCCAGACCGCCCGGTAGGACGTTTCTGTCGACAACTGTCCCTAGCCGGTTCACAACCCGAGCTCACGTTTCCTAACTTCAGCTAGTTCACGTGACCTCTGTAGCCCGTGTGCACATCATGGCAATCACATGTTTAGTGCTTTGACAGCAGTCCCCCCCCCCCCCCCCCCCCCCCACCAACCCCGATCATGACAGGCAGAAAACGTCATATTTACCTATTTACTGAATTTTTCTTTTCACAACACTCTTACAATCGTGTCGCTACAAGATGATGGAATCTAAGAGAAACCATCTCACTGTGTTGTTTATTGGGGTCATGTGTCTCATGCAGGCGATGGCTCAGGTTTGTCCCTACAGTGACCCGGTGAGTTGATATGTTTTTTACTGTGGTAAATATTTTATTCAAAATCAATAGAGCAAATCCTTGCTGTAATGAATGATTATGTTCTAATCATTGCATAGGTTTAATCAATTTTATATCATACATTTTAGATTCAGAGTCGCCGTGACGTTAGCGGCTAGACGCCTGCCTTGGGATAGAAAGGTCGTGGGTTCGAGTCCTGAAAAAAAAAAAAGACCTTGACTCCCAGGTCGACCCAGCTTTGAGTGTATTTCAATTGCAGCCTAGGAAAGTAAAGGCGGCCGGCGTGATGCTAACCACATAACTCACCAAGTGCCGATTTGTCTATACAATTTATGTCTTGCCCTATATTACCAATACGCATAAAGGTGTGGAAAAGTGACCTTTACATTTTGATTGTTCACCTCTATCTTAGGAGCCACAGTAGTGTAGCGGCTAGACGTTCGCCTGTGATTTGAAAGTCGTGGGTTCAGTTCCAAACGTAGCGGCACTTTTTTTAAAATTATCCTTTTCTCCCAATTCGACCCAGCTTCAAATCGGTAACAGGTAAAGTCCTGGGGAGTAAAGGCAGCATACGACCACAACATCCACCAAGTGCTGATTGGTCTTAAAATATATTACTAGGCCTATAAGGTCAATTCTTCTAAAGTTTGACAAGAGGATCGTTTACTTGTCATCTTTAACATGCACACCTAAGAAATAAAAATAAACACGGTTGGCATGTACGTTTGTGGTATAGGACAAGGCTGTGATATCTACGCCTTTCGGCCATACGTTTCCTCTCATGTAGCTGCCTCTACTGCTGCTCAGTCCTCTTCTTCTTCCACTTTTTCTTCTTCTTCTTCTTCTTCTTCTTCTTCTTCTTCTTCTTCTTCTTCTTCTTCTTCTTCTTCTTCTTCTTCTTCTTCTTCTTCTTCTTCTTCTTCTTCTTCTTCTTTTTCTTCTTCTTCTTTTTCTTCTTCTTCTTCTTCTTCTTCTTCTTCTTCTTCTTCTTCTTCTTCTTCTTCTTCTTCTTCTTCTTCTTCTTCTTCTTCTTCTTCTTCTTCTTCTTCTTCTTCTTCTTCTTCTTCTTCTTCTTCTTCTTCTTTTCTTCTTCTTCTTCTTCTTCTTCTTCTTCTTCTTCTTCTTCTTCTTCTTCTTCTTCTTCTTCTTCTTCTTCTTCTTCTTCTTCTTCTTCTTCTTCTTCTTCTTCTTCTTCTTTTTCTTTTTGTTCTACTTCTTTCTTTCTCCTACTTCTCACCCTTCTTAGCTTTCATTTAGCCCAACGATAAGTCCTCACAACAATGCTGACATAGCCCTACTTCGGGTGCCGTCGGGGACCCTAATATAACCTACTAGTGGAAGACGAATCTGACTGCAACTGGAACATTCTCATCGGAATGGTGGCAACTTGTTTAACTGGGTATTTATCTGCTTTGGATACGAGGAACAAACAATCTGCCCACATATATGCCGGCAAAGTGAAATAATGTACAAACAAAACTTCACTTCTGGAATTAGACCACCGTCCATAAGTGGACGAACAACTAGAGCTTTCAGCCAGAGTTTACCTCTTGTGAAATTAACCAGTAACAAGAAGAGAAGGATCACACATTATATACACAATCTGGATCTGTTTAATTGCGTGACACCAAAGACATCTTTAGTTCAGATGTTCTAGTTGTCATCATCTTCTTTACTTTCCTTAATCATAATCTGTTAAATGTATGGTATTGCTAATACTAGACAAGCGTACCAACTTTGTTTTATTTTGATTTAGTCATATCATATTTTTTGTCCATGTATCAACAGAGGTGTACGTGTTATTCTGCCAGTCTGACATGCTACTATCTGGATAAAATCCCGCCACTAAATACTGGACCTAATGTGAGCCAAATTAGGGATCTCTCATTTATGGTAAGTTAGTTTAGTAATGGTTATTTATAAATAAGATCAGTTCTGTATTAAACCAAATATTTGGTGGTTGACCCCTCATCATCATGTAGCAGGTCCTTTGCAGAACGTCGCTCTCATCACAGTATGCCTGAAAGAAACTCGGTCTCTCACCAGTTCTCTCGCCTCATGTGCTTTCATACCCAATGAGTCAGTTATATCCTGTGCCCATCTTCTTTTCGATCGGTCCCTGCCCCTCCTTCCCAGTACCATGCCTTCTGCTATATTTTTTTTCAATCAGTAGTGGCGCTTGATATGACCAAAATATTTCAGCTTCCGAGACAGGATGCTGTTTATTAGCCAATCTTCCTTGATGTTCAGATCTTTCAAGATGTCAGTATTGCTCCTCTTCTTTGTCTAAGATATTTCGAAAATCATTCTATAGCATTTCATCTCAAAAGCCTCAATTCTCTTTCTTAAGGACTGAGAGATAGTCCACGACTCACATCCGTATGCAGACACAGGGAAGATGCATGCTCTCAAAATTCTAATGTTGATCTCCTTGCTGGTGCTCAACCAAAGACTTTAGAAACAAATTCGTACTCATACTTTAATTTCTAATGTTTAATTAAAAATCGACATAACATTACTCCGGATATTCCCATAAGCGTTCCGTTCCCATCTTTAGCAGCAAACGCAGAATTCCAATGTCAGTAAGAATCTTATTGTATATTCTACCTGGCCTTCCAATGTGTTGATTTTCAGGTAGATTCAATCGTCACTGCTGGCAGCACTATTCTCCACAGACAGGGATGATCCACCTGTGCCTCCGCGCTTTTCACTGCCCCCCCCCCCCCCGATTTTGTGGTTTTCTTTATGTCCATCTCCTTATGGTGTTTCGATTCATATAATATTGTTTTATTGTTTCCTGATGCCTACAACGCATATGAGACAATAATAATTTTTTTTTTTTACTAAACAAACGCACCTTACGTTTCCTGGTGATTCCAAAGATGAAATAATGCTCTTGCTCTCTCCTTTTACAGAACAGTCCTTATATTAACTCTTTGATCTAAAAAATTAATTTAACTACTTCTCACGCATAATATCTCTGTTGCACTCGTTCGAACCAAAGGTTTAATTGATCATATAGCTTAGCTTTTGCTTGGGACTGAAATAATTATGCGTTTTAAATCAACTTTGTTTTTCTTTTTTCTTTTCAGTATGGAAACATAACACGTATATCCAACGATAGTCTACCTCCCGGCTTATCAACAATCTATCTATTTCGTCATCCACTAACTAACATTTCTGAAGACGCCTTTGATGCATCTGCAGCGACACTACTTCGTGTATCGGTTTTTGAAGCTCAGTTCACGGACATCCCAAAAGCGCTACAGAAACTGACTAAGTTGACAGGTCTACTGCTTCAAGATACTCTAGTACAAGTTTGGGATTCTGCTACACTGGGACAGCTGGCTGCTTCACTTCGGTCTCTTGAACTTATCAACGTAGGTTTGTTTGCATGGCCAAGCTGGATTTCAGACTGTCATCTGCTATACAGTATCAAGTTAAGCAGGAACACCCTGAGATCTATCCCTGACGATGCTTTTAATTTTGTCGAAGACAAGTTGACTTATCTAGACCTTTCTGTGACCGGCTTGACTCAAGTACCAAAAGCGCTGTCCTCACTCTCCCGTCTGGAAACGCTATACTTAAGCTACAACAACTTGACAGATGCGTCTCAAATCGACACGATAACTGGGGCACCATTTGCTTCAAAGCTTTCTTATCTATATTTAAACTCAGCAGGACTTAACCGTGCAGCAAACTTCTCTAATCTGACAATCCTAAGAACCCTTAGCTTATCTAACAATAAAATATCAGATATACCTGCCGGCTCACTTCCCACATCTCTGACGATGTTTTATTTTTCAGACAACAGTCTCTCGAATGTACCAAAAGATGTCGCTAGCATGTATGGGCTTATAACGTTAGAGTTAACTAACAACTTCATTACGAACATCGAATCAAACTCATTTCCTTCAAGTCTGAAGTACATCTTCTTGGATCGCAACAATCTAACTATCATTACAAACACAACTTTTAGAAATCTTGGTGTGTTAAGCACTCTAATTTTGAGTTCAAATCCTATTTCAGTAATCGCACCAGGGGCATTCTCAGATCTAGTATCAATTCAATCCCTCCGCCTTTTAGACTCACATCTGACAGAAGTGCCTCTAGCTTTTACACTGTTGAACCCATGGACAGACATATACTGGAGCACGGCCCAGCCTTTGTCTTGTCCATGTCCAACGCTCAAAAAGCTGGTTCAGTGGTACACCTCACGGACAAACGCTGGGGACATTGAAGCAACCTGCAGCAACAACCAGTCTATTGACGCATATTTACGAGGTCAATGTTTGCAGACATCGGCCACTCCTTAACATATAGCTACTGTAAATCAAGTAGATAATATGTTTATCTTCAGTAGGCAAAATGAATTCCAGTGTCCATGCCACTTTAATTTATTAGTTAAAAAAAGTAAACTGAATATATATGATAGCTCAAAATAAAATAAAAATAAAAATACAGAATTACCAAAAGGATAATATTAATGTGTCTTTTTATCCAGCAGTATGTATTTTCTCCCATGGTACTGACGTAATCGTGCGACTGTTACTACTGTGTATTTGCACAATCGTTGGTTCTTTCCATAAAATAATGTGTTGTGTGAGCGGACTCAGCATGAACATTAAGTAACCATAACAGAATACAGACAGAGCAGACAAAATATTTAACGGACATGCGAACCCAACGATAAACTTCTAAAAAATATAAATGAAAGTGACATTGTTTCAATGATGTGGAGATAGTTTTAGGAAATAATTAAATTAATATCATTGAGTTGTAGAAACAGTACTTTTGGCAAGGTGCTGTAGAAGATTATTGCTGTTTAACAACAAATGGTCTTGGAAAGGGAAGAGCTTCTGTTAAAATGTTTGGGTAGTTACCGGCCAAGGAAAGATACCTGTTCAAATGCAGCTACTTTTGCTTTTGACAGAGTCAGGTATGAAAATTTGATTTTTGCGCTCACGAAGAACGGAGTCAGTCCCTGTCTGCTGAACTGGAAAACAATTGTCCTGCATTTACGTATGGTTGCCTTTCGTTTGTGTACTTGGATCTCAGAACCGTTTACAATCGCCTCTGGACTACTCCAGCATTCTGCAAATTCCCAAGTGCTCCTAAATGTGTATACGAGCAAGGTATTGAAAGGATATTGATATATGCAAATAACGTTATAGCATATAAGCAGGGGAGCGAGCTATAGATGGCCCAAGAGCAAAGCAGCACACCAGAGACATCCACGAGCATACGAGAAACATTCTAGGAACATACCAGAGACATGCACGGGCATACGAGAAACATTCCAGGAACATACCAGAGACATCCACGAGCATACGAGAAACATTCCAGGAACATACCAGAGACATTAACGAGCATTCGAGAAACATTCCAGGAACATACCAGAGATTTGCAAGAGCATACGAGAAACATTCCAGGAACATACCAGAGACATCCACGAGCATTTGAGAAATATTCCAGGAACATACCAGAGATTTGCAAGAGCATACGAGAAATATTCCAGGAACATACCAGAGATTTGCAAGAGCATACGAGAAACATTCCAGGAACATACCAGAGACATCCACGAGCATACGAGAAACATTCAAGGAACATACCAGAGACATCCACGAGCATACGAGAAACATTCCAGGAACATACCAGAAACATCCACGAGCATACGAGCAACATTCCAGGAACATACCAGAAACATGCAGAAAAAAAAAAAAAAAAAAACCATCAGAACATCTCATTAACATCACAGTGACATTCCAGGCGCATTCCACAAACATGAAAGAAATATTAGAGGAATCTGAAAAACACATAACAAACATGAACATTCCCAAAATCATACAAGAAACATAACAGAAATATTCCAGTAACATACCCGAAACATGACCGAAACATTCTAGGAACAAACCAGAAAGATGCCAAGGTGTCTCTTCTGGTACCTAGGTAATCGGTTGTCTCAGATTCTCAGTGTCGCAGGTTCGTATCATGCACTGTGGCAGTCAGTTTCGTATGCAATTTTTACCAAATTCTTTACGGAGTTTCGTTAGAGCTACGGAGTTAGTGTTTTGTGTGACGCTATCGGTAGACAATTCTGATATCTTTGAAGAGAGTCGGAGCTATTTGGGTTAAACACTGATGCAATGAAGTTGATCCTCTTGAATTAAAGTATGTGTGCCGGGAATTTCCAACACCCACACACGGACAGACACCGAGTCAGCTAAAGTTTAATTTCCAGAGTATACAAATTTGATTGACACTCAGTTTGTAAAAAGGCTCAGTGTACAAAGAATGATTGTCTTATCAACGTCGTCTGATTGTAAGGATTGGGTGTTAAGGGCTGGGGATGGTGGGGGTAGGGGGTGTGGGGATATGGGGAGAGTGCGTGGGGGGACGGGTTGGTTGAATCCCCAACAGTTAGTGTCATTTAGTCGTTACGGTTCCGGCATCACAGCAGACAAGCTTGTCCCATAATTGCTCAACCGCCTATGCCAGTGATTTCAGTCACAAACTGAGTCAGATACGCTGGATACTTCAAGTGAATGCCGTAGCCATACAAGGTGTCCTCAGTCAGCAAAAAGACACACGATTTGATATGGTAAACCATGAGGTGCATGCCTTCTTAAACACACTGCGAGACCAGGCGTCATAGCTGAAAATTAACTTCATTCGACAAACAGCTGATAATAGCTAATTGAAACTATTTCTGACCAATCTCCACATGTCCTCGGCCAAGTTGCAGTAACGGCCAAGAAATAAATAGCAACTATAGCACAGCCTGGTCCTAAGAACACAACGAAGACAAATACATCACCCATCATTGCCAATATGTACGAATCTGAAACTCAGTCGATAACCGATAACAACAGCTCATAGTACCACCAGGAGCACTAAACTCAGTAGCTCCGGCTGCAAACCGGACCTCCACAATCTTGCGACATCGAAAGTGGAGGAGAAACGGCAACGACAACAGTCAACATGAGCCAAGTTCTCAACCATCATCCATTCCCTATCAGTGTCGGAACCGGAAGCATCCCATCAACAATTTGGATAGAAAGCATTTTTAATGACTCACTGATCTCAGGTTTCAAATCCTCATTGAGGGATTTTTGTTTTTGTTTTTTAATTGATCCTGAGTTTCTAGGTCAAAAAAGCCGAGTAGGTATTATTCAGAAAAATTGTATGGGAAATAACGGCATTCGGCGTGACAGCGACCTAACGAATCGAGTGTCGCAAACGCAATGGCAAATTTCAGCTATCATCAAACACTGAATACAATTGAAGACGTCAAAACGAGTTGTTTACAACGAAGACAAATGGTTGTGAAACATAGCTATACAGCAGATAGGCAAAAAGGGAAGAATTTAATCACAGTACATTCGGGTGTCACTGTATTAATCAATTCTTTAAATATACTTCTAAAAAAACGCATAGTTATACCATGTCGCCTATTTTAGATTAAGGAAAAGCCCGTACGCCTAAACAATTATGAATGACTCAGGTACCAACAAAAAAATGTCAATTGATTGATTAAACGCTAAGGTTGGCGTATTAAACGTGTTTACTTATTAAATTACAAAAAGTTTAAATGTAAAAAAAAACACACACAAAACAGGACACGTCAATTTTTGAAACGTTGCAAATTAATGTGACGAAAATGTTTTTGGTGAAATCTTATCAGTTTGGCAATCGTGACTAAAACAAATTAAAAGCGTATAAAAAGACAGTCATTTTGCAATACTCCCCACTGAAAGAAGAACAGCAGACTAAGGTCAGTAGAACTGTGTTAAGAATAAGCAACTGGTGATAGTTTATCATGATTCAGTAGTATCGACATAGTGTGCCATTTGCTACAAAATACAAAGACTAGTGCTCGTGTTCATTATAGTATTTATTAGAAGGATAACATATTATGCAAAACCAGTTCAATCGAACTATAAGCAAATCAAACTAGCCCATGCCAGGACCCATTAACAGACACGTGATCAAACCAAACAGTTAAAATTAGGAATAAACAACGGAACTTGAGTTATACAATGTGTTTATATGCTAGACAGAGACAGCGGACACCTTCTCCCACATTTTTATCCCATTCTCCCCCTTCTATCCACCACCAAAAGGCATAAGTAAATTGTTGGAAACACACACACATATATATACATACATATATACATACAAACACAAATGTATAGAAGTATGCAAACGCACACACATATGTATATAAGTATGCACACGTATATATATATATATATATATATATAAGGCAAGAGGCATTCCCAAAACAAGTGGAGAAAAATAATCTTCTAGATTACATTAGATGATTATGAAAGGCTGAGAAAAAAAAAAAAAACCTAGAAGAAAGAATGTGAAAAATAATCAGATTATTAAAACTACTGAAACTATAACCGTCATTATAGTAACTGAGAAACAAAGGCTAAAATGGTTCGTCATCCCGGTGAGAATGAAAAAGTACGAGCTGTAAGAGCTTTCGATATGATAAATAAAACACCACGAGGCAGAGGGAGGTCAGAAAAGAGTTGGATTTAGGACGTCAACTGACCTAAGACGTCACAACATTGCAACACACCAAGTAACCGAGCACCTCCTAGCTCGGCTACCTATGTTTGTTAAACGGCGACGTTTAGAGGCACCAAACAGATATCAGACATATTACAAATAAAAAAAATAAAAAAACTGATATAGACAAATGCACTTTTGTTTCTATATATGTGATTTTTTTTTTTTTTACCAGCGTAATCAGACCACCTCACCTTCTCAATGATGGAAGCTGTGAGAAACCTTCCCATTGTGGTGTCTATTGTGGTCATGTGTATCGTGCAGGCGATGACTCAAGTCTGTCCCTACAGCGTCCCCGTGAGTTAGATAACTTTTGTCCTGTGGTATACACTTTATCAGAATAGAGCAAATGTTGGCAGATGTGAACGATAATGTTCTACTTGTACAGGTTACAATATAAATCATACATTTTAAGTATACTTCTTTTTCTCCTGCTCCTGCTCCTCCTGCTGCCCCTCATCTTCCTCCCCAGTCTCCTCCTCCAATGCTCCGCAGTCCGACCTGTATTTGTATTATGAAGGCCACACCTTTTCAGGAAGAATATCCTTGCAAGATTCCTGCGACGATTCTGTTTGTAGTATTATAGGCTCACTAGGGAACACACACAACTTTCCACCATTGACAACACCGAAACGTCGCTCGAATTCCACAATACATACTGCCAGTTTATTTCTCCTATTCCGCAACAATTATTTAACCACAGTCATCGCTGTTCACTTCCACAACTATGCCACAA